TCCTTCCTTCCTTCCTTCCTTCCTTCCTTCCTTCCTTCCTTCCTCTATATGTCAGATACTATTCTAGACCCTGGGAATTCATGATATAGCTTTAGGCTTTCTTGTTAATCAATGAAATGAATTGTAAATTGTATTGAACATTTATATTAACCTTTTAAAATTTTTTACTTATTTATTTTAGTGAGAGAGGGGAAGAGAAAGAGAAAAGAGAGAAACATTGATGTGTTATTCCACTTTTTATGCATTCATTGGTTGCTTCTTGCATGTGCCCTGACTGGAGATCGAACCTGCAACCTTGACGTATCAGGATGACATTCTAACCAACTGAGTTACCCAGCCAGGTCCAAAATAACCTTTCTTGGGTTTCTATGTTTTTTCTAGAAATACGTCTTTTCATTTTTGCCCTGAAGTAAAAACAAAAGTTTTCTTTTAATTTCCTTACCTTTCTTCAAGAGGTAAATCACTCTTCAAAAGTTTGGTGTGCAACTTTGATTTTTAAAAAGAAATCTTTTTGAAACTTAGACGCTTTCATAGTAACCGCACCCCTCAAAGTAAAGTTTTCATATTTTCAATAAGAATGCTCCTTATTTATTCAGTCCTAAAGTTTTATCTGCTACTATAAATATATACTAGTATTCTCCACAAGCATGGTGATGAAGACTCTTAGTCTTATTTTCATTTGCACAATTCCTATGTTCTTACTGCGTTTGAACTCTTTGGGTAGTATTAAACCTGTCAGTTTTCTTAGCAGAATGTTAAATTTTCATCCTCAGAATTAATGTAATTGGTAAAAAAAAGAACAAAATAGATGTGTTCTATACAATGAGATGTAAGAAATTATTTAGAATTTAGAGCAAGCATGTCAGACTTGCGGCCAGCAAGCTGCATGCGGTCCACAATGAATATTTTTGCAGCCCAGCCAAAATAACAGTATGTAAGAAGCATTTTAATAAAAATTTCATAACTTAATATTTACAATATACATAATTAATAATAACGAACTACAACATTCGCTAATGACTGATTATTATAATTGCGTTGCATTCATTTCCCTTACGTGCCTTACGCGCAGGCGCACCATTTCTCTCCACTAATACTAGCAGCGAATATTTTAGCAGCTGATTGCCACGTCATTAGTCTTGTACTGACTGACTTGTTTGGTGTGTGCAACAGAAAATATTTCGCTTTTGGAGAACAAGAAAAATAGGTTTATTTGAGTTACGCTTATTAATTTGTGCAGTTATTCAGTGTCTAGTAAGTTAATGTTCAAGAAAAAATATTAATTTTTATTAAAATGTCCTATTATCTTATGTTAACAATTACTCATTTCGGCCCTTTGTATTAAGCATGCCTCTATCGAAATAAACCTACGTTTCTATGAAAATTGAAGCTTTTGTTTCTTTGTGGCCCACAAAAACTTAAACCTTGTTTATTTGGTCCGTGATACCTTTGAGTTTGACATGCTTGGTTTAGAGAATAAAGTATTATGTCAGTTAAATGGTTGCATCTTTTGGCTAAAGGTCATAAAGATTGTAGTTAATCATATGATACTTAAATATCTAGCTCATCTCTATTCCTTGAGTCTCAGATAATGTACTGAACAATTTTATGTGAACTTGGAGCAAAATTGGTAGATATCCCTTTGATCTTAGTTTTGCACAATTTACTGTTACTGTTTTATCAAATACATAGGAAGTACAAAAGTATTTTAGAAGATTGCTCTGTTGGGTTTGATACATTCAGAATGCCTGTTCTCTCCCTGAGCTGTTTAAGACGGAAGGGCCCTGGGAGCTCCCCGTTGGTCTGTGGTGAAACAGGCCATAGCCAAGAAGTGTAGGGCTGAATCAGCCTCACCATAACAAGGAACAAGGATTTGTTGCTTTAGAGGAGTGATGGGCAAGAAAACAGTCCTCCAAAGTAGCATATAGTGTTTTCTTTCTGAATAAACCTTACCTACTTGGGGCTGTAAATAGCTCTGTTAAAGCGCTTCGTGCTTTTAGTTCTCAGGTGGTTTTGAGGGAAGGAGAAGAAACTGTGATTTTCTTTCCTAGTGAGTATCCTTTTAGTTCTTAGAAATTATTTTTTGCAAAATAACAAAAATCTCTCCATGATTTTGCTTTTACTGCCTAAAATACTGACTTTTTCAAGAATTCTTTTCTGTGACCCTTATTTTCTTAGTTGTTATGTTGTCTGTTTTGGTGGAAAAAATATTGTTTAACCATAGAAATAGATGTAACACATTTTGCTTTTTACCTAAATGTAATGTGTCTTATTATGCCTTTCTTTGTTTTCAGCTACTACTTATACATGTGTGATAAAGTGGTTGCCCCAAATGTGTCACTCACTTCTGCTGTATCCCAGTCTAAAGAGGTCACAAAGACAGAGGCAGGAAAATCCATACCAAGACAGCCAGAGAAGCCTTACAGTAGTGGAAGACATCAAAAAACAGTGTCTTATCCAGAAGTCTCACTGGAGGAACAGGAGAAAATGGATTTAAAAACAAGTAGAGAATTACGTAGACATTTAGGTAAGTATTTCTATATTTAAATTCAGTATTAAAAAAGTGTTAGGTATTTGATTTTTCAAAGAGGATTTCTGTTTAAGGGACTTTTTCAGATAATTGAGGTTTTTATTGTAAAAAATGTTGAGTGACTTCTTAGAACATCAATTGCTGTACTTTTCTAGAATGGTGATAGCTATAGCGGCTAATGAGATAGATATATAGGTTACACAGCTTCATGCTTGCAAGTGACTTTTGTCTGATTATTTTTTCCCCTTCTTGCCTTTTCTTTGCTGTCAAATTTCTTCAAAAGGTCCTTATTTTTCTTTTTAATTTTCTGTGAACTGAGAAACCATTTAACTTATAATGCCAAGAAGTATATGTAAGTGTATTTAGGTATAGGACTCAGGGAAACTTAGTCATGGAATAAAGAAGGATTGAAAACTTGTAGCTGTGGGAGCCAGGCAGATGGCACAAATGCAGAATGTTGGCTGGACATCTAAAAAAAAGCTGCCTAGTTACAGTGCCTTTTATAACACTGTGGACCAAACAAGATATGTTCACTCAAATGCTGCCTCGTTACCCTCCATGTAGCAGCAGAGCTTTGCTTATAGCTTAGGGAAATGTGACAGTTATTTCAGCTTTGTGGGAGCCGTTGAAGAATCTGTAGTCATTTAACTTTTCATACATAATTGAGATTCTTTTTTTTGGGGGGGGGTTGTACTTTAATTTTGAGAATTTTAAAACTTAGGTTCTTTTGGATTTAAATATGGTACATAATTACTAGTGTACCATTAAGCTCTATTTGCATTATATTTTATTTCCCAAATTAGTGAATTCTAGTGATTGTTAAAAAGTTATTGAGATATAATTCATTTACCTTAAATTTACACTTTTAACATGTACAGTTCAGTGGCTTTTTAGTAAATTCACAAAGTTGTGCAATGATCACAACTATTTAAATTTGAACATTTTCATCACCCCAAAAGAAACTATAATCCATTGGCAGTTAACTCTCCATTCTCCCCTGTCAACCACTAATCTGTTTCCTATCTTTATGGATTTGCCTATCCTGGACATTTCATATAAAAAGGATGATACAATATGAGGCCTTTTGTTGTCTGGCTTCTTTTACCGTCTTGATTTCCATAGCTCTGTAATAAGCTTTGAAATTGGTAATTGTGAATTCTTACTTTGTTACTCTTTCTAAAGATATTTTGGTTATTTTGGATTCCTTGCATTTCCATATGAATTTTAGAATCAGCTTGTCCATTTCCAATGGGATTTTGATAAGTATTGCATTGAAAAAGTAGATTAATTTGTTATTACCAGATATCTTAGTTTGTTTGGGCTGCTATAATAAAAATACCATAGGCTGGGTGGCTTATTCCACAAACATTTATTTTTCATGGTTCTAGAGGCTGAAAGGTCTAAGGTCAGCAGATTTGGTGCCTGGCAAGGCCCTACTTTCTGGTTCACAGATAGCCATCTTCTCACTGGTTTCTCACATGGTGGAAAGGATGGGAAAGCTCTCTGGAGACACTTATAATGACGTAAATCCTGTCATGGTGGCTCTCCCCTTATGACCTTATAATTACCTCCCAAAGGCCCCATCTCCTAATACATCACATCAGGGGTTAGGATTTCAATATGAATGCTGGGATAGCGGGGTGGAGGTCACTAACATTCAGTTCATGACACCATCTTAACAATATTAAGTCTTCCGATCCATGAACATGGGATGCCTTCCTATTTGTGTAGGTCTTTAATTTCAATGTTTTGTCATTTTCGTTTTTCAAGTCTTGTACTACTTTTGTTAAAGTTATTCCTAGGTATTTTATTCTTTTTTATTTCATTTGTAAATGGAATTTTTTTCTTAATTTCATTTATGGATTGTCCTATTGACTTTTAGCAGAGTGATATTCATACTTTGTTACTTTATTTTTGCCTCTTAAAGATCCATCAATCTCAAATAACTCTGTAAGTAAAAAGAAACCTGAGTCTACCACTTGTAACATAATCAGAGACACAAGCAAGGCGGGAATTGACCATGATGCAGCAGCTTCATCTCCACTTCTTGTCAAAGATGTCATTTGTGAAGATGATAAAGGAAAGATCATGGAAGAAGTAATGAGAACTTATGTAAAACAACAGGAAAAATTGAACTCAATTTTGCAGAAGAAGCAACAACTTGAGATGGTAAAATTGTTATCTAACTAATAGCCCTAATGAAGATACTTTTGCATATTCTTAAAAATAGTCAAGATGAGATGCTGCAAATTTAAGATTATTTTGTTTTACACTCATAATCAGTTTTAATATACTTTTAAATTTTTAGAGAAAAGCTTTTCAAGATAATTACCTCCACATAGAATTGATATGACAGCTGAATTTTAGATACTTTATGTAGTATTTTTTCTTGAGTTGAAATTTTTAACATGGAAATAAGTACAAATTGTAATGTGATTTTGTATATTACAGGAAGTTGAAATGTTGAGTAGTTCAAAAGCAATGAAGGAACTTACTGAAGAACAGCAGAATTTACAGAAAGAGCTTGAATCTTTGCAGAATGAGCATGCTCAAAGAATGGAAGAATTTTATGTTGAACAGAAAGACTTAGAGAAAAAATTAGAGCAGGTAATGAAGCAAAAATGTACCTGTGACTCAAATTTAGAAAAAGACAACGAGGCTGAATATGCAGCACAGGTAAGAATTACTCAGTTTGTATAATGTTGCCCTTTCAATGTGGAAATTGAAGCTGTTACCTTCTCTGTTAAATAAATTATTTTTTGTCAAGCTCATTGGGATTTCAAAACTTATAATTCTTTTCAAAAATACAACTTTATGCGATATCATTCAAGATGATTTTTTTTACCTGGATTTATTTCTTGAAACTTTGATTGGGTTTCTGTAGTGTAGTTGCCAAAATTGATAATTTCTAGCTATGTGAATATCAAGTGTTACATTATTTTAAAATATTGGCTTTCAAATAAAAAAATTAACAAACATGAACTGTTGACCACTATGTTCAAAAGCACGGGAGCAAAAATGAATAGTAGCTCACTTCTTAGGAAAGATGAACAAATAATACTTGACATGGGCAGGCTGTGATGATGAGAGGTATGCTAAAGTGTAGGGCATAATGAAAGTACGCTAGGTGTTCAGTCCTCCTTACCCTTGGTTTTTCCCTCAGTCAATGACAGAGCAATAGTATTAGCTAATCAAGGTTTGTATATGCATGAAATTGTTCATTTTGTAAAGAGTAATTTGAAGGGCAATTTTTGCCATGATGTGAGGATTAAGTGGAAACGCCAAACAATGAAAACTGACACAGTCTTTTAAATCACACAGCTGGCAGAACTAAGACAGAGATTGGACCATGCCGAGGCTGACAGGCAAGAGCTCCAAGATGAACTCAGACAGGAACGGGAGGCAAGACAGAAGTTAGAGATGATGATAAAAGAGCTAAAGCTGCAAATTTTGAAATCAAAGACTGCTAAAGTATAGAAACCTTTAAAGAGATTCATCTGTGTGTTCCTGACAGAGTTTATTTTTGTTTGTTTGCTTTGGTAATTGAATTCTGAACTGCTTATTTGCATGAAGATAACTAGGCATTCTATCCATTTGTAGATCAGAGAAAGTGGAGAGATTATATATTAGTACATAAATTTTTACATTTCCAAATGAATGAAAATGTGTTTCTTTGTACTTTTTTTTCCCAAACAGCTCAGTAACAATACTCTATGGTTTCAACTATTAGATAATCTGCCTATATTTCTAATGCAAATTTAACAGTTGTATACTTTTTAAAAGCTGCATTGTGTGATGAAAAATAGTTGTGAATTTTGTGATCCATATTTCAAACTCAATTTTAGATACAATGGTGGTTGTCATATTTCAAATATATGGAGATATTCAAGGGGTTGAATCTCCTTTTTTCATTATTACAATCTCCTTTTGAAGTTGCTATGCTATACTCATATACAAAATTTGCTTTTATTTTGTTCTTATTATGGAATATGCTATACTCATTATTATATACAAAATTTGCTTTTATTTTGTTCTTATTATGGAATGAATTTTCTTCATTTCTCTTCTTAATGTCTCCTGAGAGACATTTTGTCAAAAGAAAAATTTCATTCATGAGGTTACAGCACACCCCATGGGCATAATGGGGATGGATAATATGCTTTGTTATAATCCTGCTGCTAAACGCAAGAAACAGTTGTAATTTTTTTTTTGCTTTAAATATGGTTATATTTAGATTTTTTTTTAATGCAGCAACTTCAGGAGAGGGAATAAAATGTAAAAATTTCTTTGTTAAATGTTTATGTTGTTAAATAGTGGTGTTGAAATGTTACTGTTCTTGAGAAAAACTGATACCATTGATTTCTATACAGTCCATAATCTTCCTGTACAGTTTTTATATGTAGTTATGGGGCTTACTGAAATTTATATAATGGATTTGTTTTCCTTACTGCCTTTGTTTTCCTTTAAGTTGTAAAATATTAAATGTCTTAAAGGTTATTTTGGACTTTTGTATGTTTAAATGTTAAGTCTTATCAAAATTTGCACAAATGGACCATTTCAATTACTACTTAATATCAAAGTCAGGAATTTACAGTCAACTGATAGAGTGTGTGATAGATTAATATAGGAAAGTTTAGTTATCTGCTAAAGGATTTTTAGATAATTTTTAGGTGATAGGAATCTTATAGTTTAGGAGAGAGCAACATCTGCACTTTTTTTTTTTCCTTTTTGCACAGAAAAGTGTCATTTTTTTAATGGCAAAGTTCATATTAGTTAATTCTTGGCTTAAGAGATATTAGGTGAAATTTTTAGTATGCATTTTTTTTAAGGAAGTTTCCTGAAGCTACTATTAATTGACATTATTAGCCCATGAATTTTATGTTTCTCATGTTCTTGCCTAAGGTACTGAATGAAATTACTTGAGCTAAATCTATTTTTAAAATAAATTAGCTAGGGTTATGTACTATTCCCAGCATAGATGATAGGTACTCTAATGGTATAGAACTTCAAAAATCAGTAGGTTATCATTTAACCAGTTATTTTCATATTTTACTTAATGGTACTAATGTATCCTAAAAGGATTTTATAATTCTCAAAGTATAGTTTTTTCACTAGTGTGAACTAAATGTGTATTTTCAATTTACCATTTAAATTTTGCTGTATTAATCCTGCAATTTAATTTGTTGATTTTTGGAATCTCCTCAAGGAGGAACAGATGTTAAAAAATGACATACGAGAACAATGTTAAAAATGACATACCCTCCTAATACTTTTTATTTAAATTGGAGAAAGAAAAATCACAGAGACATTCTACGATACAGTTTCATTTTAGTTGTGAATTAGTGTCACAGCTAAGCTTTTTGGGTGACTTAAGCTCTTATAATTTTCTTTTATTCTAATCACTCAAAATCTTTCTACTCATGTTACTTAGTAAATGATAAGCTTGCTTAAGTTTCAACCCAAAACTTCTAAATTGCTTAATCTTTGAAATATGTTACTTTAAAATCCTAAATAGTGCTTAAATACCTTTAAATTATCATAAACTCTTAATTTAGAATTGAGTGAAATATTTTTTTCTGGTCCTTCACATAATAAAAACTTGTCACATGTATAGTCTTCATTTTCCCCAAGATACATTGATGTTGCCATAGGTTTCTGTCTAACTTCCTTGAATATAGTTTTTTAGTCAATTGTAAATGTACCTATTCTGGTGAAAAGTAATTTTAAATTAAACTGTACCCCATAGCTTGAAAATACAGAGATTTTGTAATACTTTAAAAGTGGCCTCTGCTAAATTATCTTACCCATATAAACTTACTCTATTCTTTGCATGCTCATTTTGTATGTTGATTGCTATCTTAAAGTTTGTTTTGGTGTTGTTTTTGCGTGCTAATTCATTAGGCAAGCAGATTTTCCCTCAGATTTTATGATACTCTATTTAGAAAAAAATACAAAAATTATTACTTTAAAAAGCTGCATTAAAGGAACAGCCTATCAAAAGTGCTAAAGCATCTTTAGAAGGAAGGGAACAATATTAGCTTACTGGGTGGTAGGTGATGTTTAATTTGGGTGATGTTAGTTTCTGTACTCTATGAGGAAAAGGTACCAAATCTATAAAGGTAGTAAATGTAAAATCTGCTGTCATTGAGGAAGCTCAAAACCACCCTGATTTCACAAATTAACTTGTAAACACTATGAAAGGATTTGACTGACAATGTAAGTTTGGCTTGTGCTTTATTTTTGTAAAGCATATTCTTTTGCTTGAATTTCTGTGTCCATGATAATTAGGATGTTTCATGCTTCTTGAACTAATTTTATAGCCTATTTAATATATTACCAGTTGGAATATAAATCATTTGTACATATTGAATTAAAAACCAATTACTAAAGTAGGTGGAATAGACTGAGTACAAATTTGCAGATTATTCATTTATTTGAAGTCATGACAGAACAACCAATTTATTTGCACATCTGTGGCCTCTGAGGGAAAGTAAAATGATAAATGAGTAACATGCTTAAGGTAGTTCCCTAAAATTAATTGTAAAGCTGGTGTTGAAGGTTTTTGATCAGCTCTAAAATTTTCTTCTCAACGAAAAGACTTATGTTGTGATTGTTTAGGGAACAATCTTTATTTTTTATTTGGTTTTATGCATTTAATCTGCACAACAGGACATTAAAAAATAATATAATGAAAAGCTGTGCTCAGACTATACATCTATTTCTGTGCTTGGAACTACTTGTTAATAGTTTTTAATTGAAGCTGTCAGCAATAAGGGACACATTACTGATGTATTATATATTGTGGGATTGAATAAGCAGCTTAATTTTTTCTAGTATAGAATACTTGTGCATTTCCGTTGGGAAAATTTATATAGGTATTCTATATTGCATCTTGTTTAAAAGGACAGTCTTTTTGTTTTGTTTGTAAAATCCATTTTAAATGGCTTTAAACTACATAATGCAATTGGGGCCTGTTTTTTAAATAATATAATTAAATGTCTTATATAGTGCTACTGTTTTTGAATTAGAAAGTGATCAAATGTAATAACAAATTTAAAAGTTAAGCCCAGAAAACAAAAGTGTATTAAATTAGTTGAATGTAAAAATTTACAAGATTTTCTTCAATATAGATACCTCAACTTGAAAATAAAGCACAGCATACTTAAAGTAGTTCTAGTAGAAATGTCCTACCTAAATTACTAAATCTAGGACACCTTTTGGGGGATTATAGTTTGGGAGAAATAAAATATACTTGTTTTTAACCATCCTGTTAGAAGTATTTCTTTATCCTGATAATATTAAGCCAACACTGTAGTCTTAAATTATTTCTGAATTTTAAATCTGTGAAGGCAGTAAATGAAATACCTGTTCTGCAACTGTTGAAACAAATTGATGACTACATTAACCATAATTCAATATAAGATTTTGCCAATGATGTACAGTTTTATGGTTAAAATTGCTGTGGTTGGTTGTATTACATGACACAAAACTGTCCTCTACCTCACGTGAAATAGATATTTTATATGGTTTTACTATAAAACAAGACTCATCTATTTGGTCACTTAGTTTACAAATTTTGAATTATATTTATTGAAACATGACATACTGTGCTCTTAGCTTATACATACCTCAATTGTATTTTGTGCTGTTTTCCATTTTCATGCTTTGTAAATAACTTGTATAGATTGTGGATTAAATTCCAAATAAAAATTTTTAATGCCAATAAAATTGTTTCAAGCCATTTTAGTATCCTGTGCAAGCCTATCCCTTAAAAATTGACATTTTCTTTTTTTTTTTTTACTTTAAAATCTATTATTCATTACACACTAAGTGACTGAGTTAAGAAACCTTTTAAAAAATATATAAATATAAAGCACATGAACATACTAGCTTTTAGTGATTATCCTCTTTCATGATGGTTGGACTCCTGCTTGAATGATTTCCCCATATCCTCTACCCCTACTTCTGGTATTAGTTACCTATTTCTGTATAACAGAATTTAGCAGCTTGAAACAAGTATCTCTCACATATTATCCGAGGGGCAGGTTAGTGTGATGGCTCAGGAGCTCTTAGAAGAGTGCAGTTATGATGTTACCTGGGCTGAAGTCATCTGTGTGCTGGACAGCTGGAGATCTGCTTCTAAGCTCCCACTCCCAGGGCTATTGACAGGTGCTTAGTTCCTCACTGTGTGGACCTGTCCACGGAGCTCTTCATAACATGGTGATGGCTTCCCCCAAATGAGTGTTACAAAGGAGAGAAAGTGATGTCACACCCTTTGATGACATAGACCCTTAAGTCACAGACTGTTCCTTTTGCCTTATCCCATTTGTTAGAAGTGAGTCATTTAAGTCCAGCCTATACTCAATTGGAGGGACTTCCACAAGGGCATGAAGTCCAGGAGTTAGGGATCATTGCTGGCCATCTTAAAGTCTGATTACCAGACCTCCCCATTTTTTTTTCTGTGACAAAATAAACAAAGTGTATAATTCAGTGGCAGTACGTACATCCACAATGCTGTGTAACTATCACCACAATTTCCAGAACTTTTTCATTATCTGAAATAACTCTGTATTCATCTTTACGCCCCAGCTTTTAATAGCCCAATTCTATTTTCTGCCCCTGAATTTGCCTATTTTAGATGCCTTATACAAGTGGAATCATAAA